AATAATATGCATCTTTATTTGTATGTAAATGTGGATAACATTTAATGTAAAATATGTGATAACCCTATAACAAATGAGTTATCTTTGATTACTAACTCGAATCAGATGTCAAATTAATTATTTTATTTTTAAAAGAAGGCTTAGTGTTTGTTTTCAAAATGTCATATATGCTATGTGTATGTTTATATGTACGGTTACAGCATCAGTTTTTATTATAAGCACGAACAACTATATAATACATATTCAGATTGTATATCTTGCAATATAATTAACCTCACTGATATTTTTAACAGAGATTTCCGTACATAAATAAATATATACTCTGATCATAAAATGCTAACATCCGTTGATATTTGAGAAAGTTATCATTTTTACACACTCATTTGTTTTTATAACAAATTTAGAATTAAACATTACTTTTTTGTTTTGTTTTATCATAAGCATATATTTGTGTGTTCCATTCCACTTTCATCCTTAATATTAGAGCAGCACATGATAATAGCCATATTTACAGATTCTGCTGATTTTAGATGATAGAGAGTCTTTCATTGATGATCAATGGGCTAAAGATTAGAATATTTCCCCTGGAGATAATTAGGACAGTTGTTATGAATGAATGCATTTGCAGATGACAAAAAATCCTGCAAGATTGTTCTTAATATAATACAGACGTCCTATAACATGTTACGATAAATAGGTAGGGTAATAAATAAGAAGTTCCTAAGCACAATATATAGTTAACATAAAATTGTATAGATGGATAAGGAATTATTTGCATAATAGAAACAATTAGGTGCATCAGATAGTATAAAGTTATCTAGGATAAAACTCTTTAAATCAGAGTTATAAAACAACATCATAGCGTACATAATTATGATTACTATAACCAAAGTGATAACATATACTATCCGGAATATTTGGATATTTTTAGTTAGGAATGATAGTTATCATAAAACGCAAATTCTGAAAGTTTCTTTTATAATGTAATAAATAACCAACTTCGGAAACTGTTTCAAAAATATGTAATCTAACAGAAAGCACATAACGTTTGTTAACTGTTTCTCAGCGTCTTAAGTAGCACATGCTAATTGTCCAAATACAAAAAAAAACATGAAAAATATATGTTATTACATTTAGCTTGAAATAAAGTATTTTATTTGACATTTTCGGTGTGTTCAATACTTGCTACTTTGCTTGTCTTGTTCGAAATCAACGTAGCAACATAACAGTCCCATAGCTATTAACCTAATTACAGTCTTCTCTTTAAAATTAATAAAAAAGTTGTAACGATTATTTCACAAATTATGATTCTATTTACATAACGCCATATAATATCATTGAATTTACTTTATCGTAAATCGGACCAGACGTATGTCTACTACGTGTACTACATGCGTAGGATCAACTGGGTCTTATCTGTCTAGAATATAGGTTGCAAAGGGATTTAGGCAGGAGATAGACACATATCATATGATCTAGACAGTTTTTTAAAACCACCTTATCAACTAACATAACACCCTTGGCTACCATTTCAAGATAAAATGTTTTAGACCAAACTTCATTTTGGCTGATTTTATTATGAATAATGGTGCAATTGTATAACATTCATTGCTTCAATTATATGCCATCAATGATATAACTTTACATTTTATTCTATTTCCGTGAACACTGAATTGTTGTGTTTTGTTGTTGTTTTTTGTGGAAGTTAAAAGGACATTTGTTCATGTTTTCTGAATATTAACATATTACAGTTGACTCCACTTATAACAAACTCGCTTATAACGAATTTTCGTTAAAAGCGAACTAAACCTGACATGCCCGGCCGATTCCTTCTTTATTAAATCACGTACGTTAATACGAGCTCGTATAACGAATTTTCGGCTATAACGAACCATTTTTAAGCCCCAAATGACGGGGAACATGTAAATTTCCTCGATTATAACAAACTGTTATAATTGTAATATCAGGATGCGATCGATTAGGATCAGTACATGAATTGTATTTGTATTTCGCACCCTAAGTTGATTGCTGTAAATACCCGATAATTACATGTACCAAATAATCGATTTCTGTTTGTTTGCAATATTAACCAAACGATAATAAACAAATAGCAAAAGAATACAAATGGTAAGCACTTTATAGACAAGTACTACATGAATAAATACATGTACCATGTACATAATATATCGTTCAACTAAATGCCCCGCATTAATTAACCGCTGCAGTAAAATACCGGTTTTACCGGTAACCAGTGAAAAGTATTGCTTTTTCATGGCAAATTTTCCCATCCAAAAAAGTCAGCAAGCTGTTGCTATTTCGCTTTTAGCGAACTTCGAATATAACTAACGATATTCTAATATCCATTTGAGTTCTTTATAACCAGAGTCGACTGTACTTTGAGAGATTAAGGTGTATGCATTTCAGCAAAGTGATCACAGGTTCACGTTTTTACTTTGGTCATCAATTTGATTTATATTTATGAATATTTAAAGGAAATTAAACAGCTTTAAACTGCTGTCTCATATCTCTGAGCGCTACAGAAATTCGTTTCTGAACTAATAATTAACTTTTAGTCATTCAAGACTAAAGTAGTGCCAAAGGTCGTTAAGAAGTTGTTCATAAGTTTGAAATATTATGTCGATTGAATTACTGTTGTTTTATTTTTTTGGTGTATTTGATTTCTACAATTGACAGTTTTATTTTTTGTTTGTTTTTACACTTTTATTTTATCTTTGATTCTGTCTCAAAAAAAAAAATATCCAGAATATAAGTGTTTGAAATAATGTATCGCATGTCTGGTAATTGAAGTATTGAAATTTTTTTTATAAATAAATGGGTTCTCACCGGCTTAAAAACAAGTGATATATTAGTGTCTGACATCTGAAAGAATTCGGCACACATATCGCTATCTTATTCTTTTGATGTCACAAATAAATGAAAAAAAATGTTATGCCATAAAATATTGTGCAGACATACAAAAGAGCATGGAGACATATATTTGTTAAATTTCCCTTAAGACTTAATTATTGCAGTTGTATTTGTTTGATATAGCAGCTACAAAGGTCACAGTCATTAGATGGATTTACATGCAGCAATTTATATAACAGATACATATATAAGGCACTTAAAAATTATTACTTTTATGTATTTATAATAAGTTATATAAGTTATATTTTATATTTTTCTTTGTCATAGCATATTTTGCAATTTTGACATTTATATTTTGTAGATTTAGAACACAGGCTCTGAACAAATTAGTTTGTGTGATTAAGTCAAGAGTAATAAGACAAAGGCTTTGCTTATATACACACTTTAAGTAGTTCATATAATAAAACGTCTTACAAAACGTAATCAATAAGTAATTTGAAAAATTTCGTAAATTTCGGTTTCTGACATTATTTCCATGTATGAATTTAATAAACTTTTAAATTGTATATATGCATTGTACTGTATAAGCCATTCAATGCTTACCTGTCTTTTTCAAACTAGAAAGTAAGTTATATTTAAGTGATAAATATTGTTATGAAGTTGGAAAATATAATACTCGTTTGCATTTGATAATTATTATTCAATTTCCCCGCAACGAAATTCATTATTATATGGTAGGATCGAGAATTTGTACTTTGGCCAACAACATTATTTATTCATATATGACCATGTTATGATAAATGTAATCATATCCCTACATTCTTATGTTGGCATTTCCTTTTTTGATTTTGCCATTTCAAAAAAATGTTTTGAAAATTTTATAGTATGAACGTAAATAAAGTAAAACAAAATACAACACCATAAATAAAGTAAAAATAATTTATTTCAAAATCAAAAAATAGCACCATTTTGATAATTTATATGCATAAATAACTACGGATTACAAAGCAATGGTTCTATATCAAAGAATACTAGCTAAGCTACAGCAGAAGAAATAGATACCTCTAGATGAAATAATAGTTCACATTAATAACAGATTGAAACAAACGTACACAATTGTGAGTTAAAGAAATGTTCACACGCACAAGAAGATTTATATGAATTATCTTATTACATGCATAAAATTGTTCCCAATATTTATATAATATACATTCGTCAAATAAGCACTTAAGCATTGCTTGTCAGACAGAACAAAAATGTTCCACACAATTTAAATCAAAACGTGCATTTTCAATTACATTTATCATTTTTTCTTTTATATTCTTAATACTAAATATAGGTTTCAACATGTCTTGTAAGTTGCATATCCAATATTGTCGTAATACTAACATCTTGTTCCTAACAAGAATTAAGGGACAATTATCTTAAACACATATAATGCAAGTTAATGACACATCTTACAAATATAAACGACAATGAAGGAGAAATACATTCACCCTGCTTCATCATTTGGAATTTATTTGATGACATTCGGCTCCAACATTCAGCTCAGAGCATGTAATACATCTCTTAAAATAAAACTCCATGTTCGTTTCTAGAATTACACTCTGGAACGTTGACAGTGTTCAACATGATGTTAACATTTGCAATCCATTAATCATATCATATTTTTCATATTGGCTGCTTTCCTGACCATTCCAGATGTTTTTCTTTAGCTGTCGGAAAAGGTACTTGTCACGTGAATATCAAATCTTTCATTTTCACCAAGTTATCATTATGGTTGCCAGACTTTCTACTCATTTCAATGCTGGTCGGTAAGAACACACCGGTTTTATTCATTTTTTCATCCTTATTTTACTATTCACTGTAAAATTAAAAATTATCAAATTACGTTTACAATAATTATCAATATCGAAAACATACGCTAGTATGATTAATATCAAATTGTTTTAACATGTTTGTATACTAGATAATTAGCAGATAGTTATATGTATAAATGTGTTACTATTAAGCCTAAGTCTGTAGTCTAGAAACAGGACATCGTTATTAAATATATTAATATAGTGAAGAAATTTAAAGTGTCCATGTTCATGTATCTTTGAATAGCTTAACACATAGTACCCGTAATTATTGCAAAACGTCTGTATATACAAATGTTTACGTACATTGGTAATGCATGTCCTGTTCCATTGAACATCCTCGCTTCTGTAACAATAAATATGAATATGTATATGTTACAGTAAAGAACAAGATAATTAGCGAATTTAGAAAGTTTAATTGCAAAACAAATACTATTGAGTCAACATATCTACCTCACGTCATTTTCGTGAGATTTCTTTCTTTTGTGTCTGTCATGAACACATTCAAATATACTAGAAATGTGATTTTAGTTATATGTTTTTAATTCCGTTGCTCTCAGGGTGGGTAATAACGTAACATTTCTTGGAGGTAATATTGTGTAACTAGCTACTATCGACAGTACGTGTGACTTACAAGATATTTGCAAACCTTTTATTACATCTACCAACATTTGAATAAAGAACATTATTCCAGGAAATAGTTAATAATAATAACTTAAGGCTACTTTTCCGATTATGCTTCTACAATGTTGTCGATGCAGTAATATTTTGGCATAAATTATGTGATAACATTGTGTCAAAAATTTGTACAAGCATAACTTGTAAAGTACAGAAGTACCTGTTACACTAGAAAAATATGTAGTGACTGAAACGGAAATTATTTTCTTGAAGCATGATATAAATAAATCAATAAAAGTCATGAACAGATATACCGAGAAATAAGCATGCACTTTTTAAATCATGATCACTTCTATAGACATAGAATTATTGAGAAACGTTTGCAACAGTACACGCCCCAATAAAACACCGGGTTTAAACAAAGTTCATTATACAACGTATCACATCCTGAGATTGAGTACACAGTATTTAAGAAGAAACCACCCAACTAAAAAAGAGCAAAAACATAGAGAGAATAAAGAATCACTAAAGAACGCACAAAACGACAAAATTTAAAAAAAATCTGGCTCGATTTGATTGAGCCTGTTCGTGGTCGGTACTGGAAAAACAAGTTACCGTCCATGCCCTCTAACACCGGCTTAAGCAGTATTCAACATTTATGCATAAAATGATAAAACATTGAAACATCCGCAGATGTGTTCATACAGCAGTGATCATAGAACCTTCAATGTGACACGTTAGTGCCATTACATGAAAAGCGGCGTATGCTCCCCAAGTAAAATAAATGCCTGTGCCCTAAACGGGAAAATAATGGGCGGGACTAAACAAAATGGAATTTTGAAAGGGGATCATAAGTTTTGAACCCTGAATATCATAGATAAGATGTGAAAAAACCAACTTCAATTTAAATTGAAGAAACATATACATGTAGTACCCCTAACATAGAATACTGTCGTGCTGAATGCTCTTCAAAGACTGAGAAAAAATACGTACCTGATTGAATGAACCGTGCTACATATACTTTTTAGCAACATAGTAAAGCACAAGACAAATATAGTATACTTACAAAATTGATATTTGTTCTAACTGTACGTCGGTTTAAAGGCATTAATGGACGAATATTGTCAGCCATGAACGACTGAGGATTTTGTATATCTCTTTGACGTAAATTACGAAGTAACTCAAGCTGTAAAATATTTATTAAAATATTATTTCCATAAAATAATTGTACAATTAACACAATACAAATAATGCTTTTGTGAAGGTACACAAAATTAATATTAATGAATTGAATATCTGCATTGCTGTAAATAGTCGTCACGGCACGCTCATTGGTTGTTCGGGCATAATAAATTCAGAGATAAAATTTAACAAATGGGTGTTATATATTTTTTCGTTCATCCATGTTGGTGAAAAATCATGATAAGTATCTTAAATGTTTTTGTTTTTTCGCAAAAAAATGTCCGAACAGTGTAAAGTTAATTCTTTACTAATGTATCGATATCACTATATTTATTTTCTTTATTGTTTCTTTAAACATTTTAGGAAAATAACTTTTAATGGTAAACGTGTTAAAATTTGTTACAAATCTATGAAATTGCCCAAATGATACATCATATGAGCCGCGTCATGACAAAACCAACGTAATGAGCTTGCGACCAGCATAGATCCAGACCAGCATGCGCATACGCGCAGTCTGATCAGGATCCATGCTGCTCGCTTACAAAGCCTATAACAAGTAGAGAAACTGATAGCGAACAGCATGGATCCTGACCATGGAACCCATTATGTTGGTTTTGTCATGACGCGGCTCATATTTAACAAGTCATAACTACCTGTTCATGAGTTACTCCTATAGGTCTATTTAAAATCATCCAAGTAACAGTTTCATAGCAACCAGGCTGAGTAAACGAACCATCGTATGTTATATAATGTTCTTTGTTAGGTAGGAATGATAAGATGCTAAAATGTTTTAATCTTGCTCTTTGACCTGAAAAACAATTCATGGCTTTGTATTAAATTTGAAGCAAAACATTTTGAAAAATGGAAAATAAAATATTTAGAAAGCTTGTAAATTTGTAACATAAGTAAACACAATTATCATATAATTCTTTGCAATTCTATTTCTGTTTGCTTTAATTAAATAAATAGTATTATAAGGAAAAACGTGTTGTAAAGGAAAACGTCAACAGATTGGTGATATTGTTATAGTTAAACATATGCTTTGAAATTCAATGAAACTCAACATCCATATTCTTATATCACACAAATAGTGTCCCTCACAATCTATTTTGTATCTAGTATATTTTACAAGTGTTTTTAATGACGATAACAGATTGATTAGTACAGATTATACCATTATCATGTATACTGTTAAATCCTAAAATTTGAAAATGTAAACTTTCGTTTTCATCAATTGGCTTTTACCATTATTGTTGGATATTACCTTTATATAATACTATTCTACTCAGTTCTGATATAACATCAAAGTCTCTATTTCTATATTTTCCAACCTGCAAGAAATAAATTTTTTTTACAGTATTAGTTAAATTTTAACACGATTTTAAATAGTTAATATGTATAAATTACGTTTGAAAAGTAGATACAGGTAGAGAATAGAATCTTACTTGAGGGCAGGGGTTCTTTTACGCGATTTTGCGTACTACATATATATGCCAACATAAAGATACCTTCTTATGATCACTTGCAAATTTTATCTAGTTACACTATGAATTATTAACATATTATAACCATTAAACTTCCAAATGCATCTAAATAAAACCCACATTTATAAGCTTTTCAATTAATGACGCAATGTTAATATTTGTATCGATGCAATATAAATTTCCTTTAAGAAGAGTTTACTAGCATCTGATATCTTATGTTTTAATATATCTCATATAATTCTATAGCTTTATCTGACATAAACGGTTTAAGGGCGCGCCGTGGCCGAAAAATTAACCACTTGCCCCTCACCGCAGTGGGTTCTAAATTTGAGTAGGAATTTGGATTCTTTCACATGCGTCGGTGGTTTTACTCAGGTGCGCGTTGTTCCTGAAATGATGCACGGAATTCCTCCACCAGTAAAGATAAATAATTGCTATATGACTTATACGTAACCATTAAAAGAGCGTTTTAAACACCAATAATGTTAGCTGATATCTTAAAGATATACTATACTCAAATTAAGTTTTTGAAAATATTGATAATTGCTACACAGTCACTTTGTATGTATAAAATAAACATGTCTCGACTTCATTTAAAGAAGATATGTCATGTTTTTAACTCTACACACTATAGGTGGTCACAATATGAATATATAGTATTATTAAAAAAACTGGCAGTTTTTTAAGAAAAGACCAGCTTGACTTGACCAATAATAGGAAATACAGCTTCTAATACATAGTTTATTAATTTTTTTATTCAAATTAAACATATTCAGTAAGAATTTCATGTATTTCAATACATTTCTGCGATAAAAATATTTTACCCAAAGATGAGCATAGTAAATCTTTAATTTGGTTTCCTTTTGTTAACAAATATTACAAGTAGTTTGTTTTCTTCAACAACGCTTATCTTTAAAAATTTTACATCAATTAATGTTACAGTTTTATCATTTGATTGACTACTGAACAAGGGAAAAATGTGTACTCTTGTATTTTGTATGTGTTTTTATTCTTCGTCTTGGTGTGTACTTAAAATCTAAAATTACATACCTGTAAAAATGCTGCTATTATTGCTACCCCTCTAGGAGCCTTTTCTGCATGTGATAAATTTTTATAAACATCTGAATTGTAGGCTATTACTTGAACCTGTAAAATATTTAATTTGCAATGGTTAAACAAAAGAAAAACTTGCAAAATTTGTTCAAAGAAATGGTATACCGTAATGTTTTCTTTTATTTTATTTTTTCTTCTTCACAGCGTACAACTTTTAAGTCTGAAGATTATAATGACAACGAAACCTGATTATTGCTAGCTCAAATTATCCTTTTGAACTTAAAATTCCTTAATTTGAAACTAAAATAATAACTTAATGAAAAAAAAAATTCTATATAAAATTGATTTAAAGTTGAATACTATCAATGTTAAAGAAACAAATTCAAAATAATTCAAAAACACAAATGTAAAATGTAATATAAATAAGGATTTAGTTTGGTTCAAATTCATCTTTTGTTCCTATCATAACATTTAAAATCTAACAACAATGGCAAATTTTCTTATCAGTAATTACCTCTCCGTCAAACCATTGTTTATTGATGGAATGTTCAGAACCCATGCCGTCCCAACTCCCGAAATGGAATTTTATCTGTGATATTGTATATTTGTATGATAAAGGCCCAAGTGTTATGTTAACGGGTGCATACAAACTCGTCTCATTTGCTTCAAATGTCAAGTCCACGCCATTGTTGATTAGAGTGCCGCTCATCTTTTGGAAACAAAACATAATTATTGTAATGGCAGTTAATGCTATCGACGAACAAATTCATTTGAAAAGATAAGTCATCATTGCGTGTTTTGTGTACATCATACTTTAATATATATATAACTGAAAATAGAACAAATTCTGTTTGTTTGTCATTAAGAAATAGCAATTGAACATTTTTTTGGTTGTGACTTAATAATGAAAAGTCTTTTTTAAGCCGAGAATATCATTTTACAAGTTATGAATATTCATAACAATCAATAACAATTTAACTATCTCCTGTATGTAACATACTAAACTATTTCTGATAAAGAGTTTATTTCAAAGGCATAAACTTATCCTCACCATATCACCTTCAATTTCTATATGTTTCAAAGACGGATCAAACAGCAACGTGTTTGGTTCAATATCTATAGGCGACTGATTTTTACCCTTGCTGCACATGAACCACTCTCCGTTCATGGATCCCCACATAGATGGACCGGAAATGCCATCGTAGTTCCACCATATTGACCACAACGATGAACCTTGCACTGAAATACACAAATTGAACAATATTACGTTTTGTATTCATAGAAAAATGTTCTAATTAAGGAGTTAAAAATGTGGGGAAATTATTATGTTTTGACTTTCCATTTAAAAGCAAACATCTATACATTGCATTTTTTTAAAGGAGGGGTTTTCCATATGGACATGCTTTCGATCTTGAACAGTCACCCAATATTGAAGTAATCAACTAAAATGTGCGCTCTTCCCCGAAATGATTAATAGTATGATATGTTCTTGTGGTGTGTTTGTTGTTATGAATTATAATAAATGCCATTATGCTTACATTTATGACTGACATTTTTTTTTTTTTTTCGGGGGGGGGGGGGGTGGTTCGTTTGAATGTTTTTGTATATAGTTTCAAATATTTTCAGGTAAGATTTGTACTAGTTCTCCTGAGTAGTATGCGAATTTTAAAAGGGCAACACAATAAGATTACACCGCTATCGTTCTCCTGCAATTGGTGTATAGTTAACTGACAAAAAAATAAGAGTACGAACAATACTTGATAAGGTCTTTCATGTTATTTTCATTTATCATTTTGCAAATGTCTATGGATTTATTCAAATGATAAAGAATAATAGTCGGTATTAATACAAATCATTTATTTCAGTTTATATAAACACACAATGAAAACTTACTTGTACAAATGTTGATGGAATTTTATTAACAGATATTTAAAAATGTTTACTATATCGTCATACAGTACCACAATGCAGACAAACATGAAGCATGTCACAGTCGAACAGGTTTTGACATTTAAATAGTTTAAACGTAGTTTATTTCAAATAAGCCTAATATAGACATTCACAATTTACAGATACAAGTTTACAACACATGTAATGCATGAAATAGCATCAGACTATAAACTGATGCTTATATAGGTCTGCTTCTGGTATTTATTTGACAACGATTTGCAATGTGTATATGTAGATACATGTATATGTTTAAAAGAACAATGAGTAAATGTTTAATTAAAAGAAATTTAATGAACTATGCAAAATATATGTAATTAGTTGGTAGCGGGTTTGATAATAAAGTATGTTAAAAACGTCAACTGCAGAAAAAGGTGTAAGATAGCAGAGAAAGGAAAATGTTTCAGACGGCACTAACATCATGACATTTATAAAAGAGGAAAAGCGTTCTAACGGAAATCTCTTGCTTTTGTTGATATAACATTGAACAGCAAGAAGATTATTACAGTTTGTTTTATCACTCATGCTACAGTCACAATGAAATAGATAACAGAGACAAATCTTCTTACAAGAAGTATCCTGTACAATTAGAATTTTTCAAAGACATCGTAATAATATCATTCCATCGGGAAAAATGGAAATGAAAGAACGATAAATTAAAATCAGAAACTTATTATTGATTTGTATTGGTTTAACGCTGCACCAATATAGAATAGGTCATTGGGTCATATGAATGTTTCAATTCACATTTCACTAAAAAACATGTTTAAAAAGAAGAAAAAACACTTCTTTAAGATTGACTTTAAAATTATTAAAGTACTAAAGATGAATGTTACAGTTCTTCAACACTGATTTTGTATAATATTTTGCACAAATATTTATGTTTTATTTACAAAGCATAATTATGATATGCTTTTTCACACTATGTCAATAAATGGAATACAACAACACAACACAAATAAAAAAACCTTTCAAACTTTTTTGTTATAGCAAATATTTAAAGAGTCACATATACTTATATTCAAATGTTTCTATTAGATATATAGTGGTAATTGATTTTGTTTTATTTTTATTTTGCAGTGTATATATGATTGCATTAATTTCTAAATTCAATGGCGAAATGTTTTTGTACACATTTCTGAGATTATTTGACGAATGCATTTTCACAGAATTGTCGTGACTGTATGTTGTCACGGTACTGACTTTGAAAGCAGTCAATCATTTGTCCTAATTTGTCAAACATGTAGATGTTTCGGATAGTCAAACATGTAAAAAAAGTTTGTTTTTTTTGCCAGATTTGCTTGTATGTAAGACTGTATTGTACACATGAGTATAAAAGCTTATAGTTTCATATGCTTAAAAAATAAACTTTTAAATTCAAAAACACAGTTATGCAACAGTAACAAACTTACTGATACGAGTAAAGCCAAAAACAACAATAACACACTTTTGTCATTTATACATTACCTGGCGGTAGCGTCACAGTATCGTTAGTGGCGCCTGTAATGCCAAGAAAAGTTTTATAAGCTAGATATATGTTTATATATATATATATATATGTGAACTGAACTATTGTTTACATGGATCCATTGGTAAATTTTTCATGACAAAAACAGCTTTCGTCATATTTTATTGTTAATTAAACACATTAGTGTTTACGCGGTTTATGTTGTTGCATACATTAATTTGTACATTGGTCTGACCTTTGAATATGTACTGTTCAGTTTTCCTCTATATTATCTTACAATATGTTTTACTTGCTAGTATAAGAAGTTATATGGAGTTACATGTAGTGGTTATTGTACAGTTTTTGTGCATATAATATTATAATAGTGTATTTTTCTGGTATCGATGGTTAATTCATTTTTAAGTGCCTTAACAAAATATATACTGTATATATAGTATCAAATATTAGTTATGGTTTTACCCTTAAGTTGTACTCATACGAATAACATAAAATATTGTCAGCTTCTTTAGACTACCTATTATACGGAAAATGTTAGGACAGTCAATGATAATAATAATTGTATGATAATAAGTATAAAACAAGTAATAATAAAACTAATATTTTGATTAATAATAACAACAATGATAATAATTATAATTATGGTAGTAAAAATAAAAGCAATAATAACAATTACAATGATTAATGATAATAAATAAAATAATAATCAGTCTAATGGGTTTTAGATTTTCCATAGCGATGATGAATATTCTATTAGTATTTCACATACATAATAAAATTGAAAATCAATATATAGGAGGTATAAATGATTGTTTACTTATGTATTTCCTTGAATAGTATTTTATGAAAACAAATCTGCTATGTAAGCAGGTTTATGCAAGCATGTTTGGCGTAGACAATCTAATTCTTCAATGCACATGCTCTTGAAGGCGCCAGTAAGCTTTTTACCAAACGACACATTACATAATTAATAGCTTAAAACAGTGTTTGCAAGACAATTGATCATAGATAGAAATTATTGCCTCACAGCAAACTAATCTGTTTGATATTTTCGGTATAAAACACTAACCCCTAGCTGTATTGTGTGTGTTCATGTTTTTGTTGAAAGGTTTGTGCACGCAATATTTTGTGATTAAACTCATATGGCGGTCATAAATGCGATGTTTTCGCATTTGCTAGACAAAATTAGTCTCAGAGGTATCTAAATAATGCAAAGCAGTGTATATAAACAAGATACAAAGATGTTTTTCTACCCTCAAATATCGATTTATTCAACAAATATCATTTCTTATGCATTAAAATATAACAAATTCTTTTTTGGGGATATTAATATGAAAGACAATTACAGTATAAAAACATATTGTAAAGCATTTTCATATACATAATTTAAAGACCAACTTTATATGAGAAAATTGTTAAAGGAGTATTAATCTAAGAATGCTTCAAAGTTTGATTTGACGTGTTGTCAATTTACGATAAACCACCTACGTCTTTTTTTAGAATTTTTCAATAACTGCATGTACTCAATGTATCAAATGTCTTAAAAAATGAGAAAAGAAATAATTCCAGTAACAAAGGGTTATCTAACAATGTAAAACTAAATTTCTTTTTCTTTAAATTTTGCACTTAAGATAGACCATGGGTAATGCATTACCTCCACTTTGAAGAGTATTCAAATAGGCTAGAATTGCTTGCCATCTACTTTGAAATTGAGGGGCGTGGGTTCAAAACTCAGAAGGGGCAACTTTTCTTTTCTTTTTTAACATCATTTATGTATCTCTCTGATCCCTTATGGAAGAAAAAAGGGTTTGATTTAAATAATATAATTATTGTAGGTATTTATTTGCTAAATAATGCCAAAATTTATAGCATATATGATACCAGATATTTTCAAAGTTTAATAAAATAAAAACTGTAGAGTAAAAGTATTTTATATTTCGCATGATCAACCAATATACCTCTAAGAAATTTTAGGCCAACTTTGAAAACAGTTTCTATAATGATGATATTACAGATTATTTAGAGTTTCCTCATTTCTGAAAATAAGCCCTTCTAAGTCTCAGTTCAGAAATATATATATCCATAACTCATAAACCACACGGTAAATTTTATTTAAATTTTGCATACAGGTGACCTTGAAGACATATAACTGTCCATATTGTCAATTTTACAGTTCCTTATGGTGCCCATAACCCATGGTCTACCTTAAACATTTTCTACCTCACAACTAATATAATCAAAATTATTTGGACGAAATCAAAAACACATAATTCGTTTATATTTGCAATCATAGGTTAACAAGGATTGAACTAAACAAGCAATTAGTTCATTACATAAGACATGTTGTGATAAAGGCGGTGCTAATAAGCGTTTTGGAAATCAATCAGTTTTTTTTTAGAATTTTTTTACGGGAGTGCTTGACCAAACAGTCAAAGTCAAAGTCGTTAATCTTTTATCACTAATCACTCATAGCTGTAGGTATGAATTCCATAACGGACTTTGGATTATTTCATGTAAAGCTAGCTATAAAAATTCAATTTGTTTTACAAAATTCTACTCAGGTGCATGCGTGTACCTGATATAATGCTCTCTGAGGAGCATCTTAGGTATTCAGCCACCAGCACATCTAGAGGGACATCATATGCTATTAACAGTGTAGTGTCGCTGTGAACTAATTTCCCCAAGCAACCAAGGACTTTCATAAGACTAATCTTTACAAGGCTAGCACGTTCAAGAAGTATCAATATTGATAAAAGTTCAGAACGTACTAATTGCCAATTCTGTCAATCAAACCTCTAAATATACAGGATGATGTAAATCGATTTCATCTATAATGTCTCATTGATGTAATAAGTATGTAAGCTTGTATAATTGATACCTACTTCATGTAGGCTCGAGGAATATTATAATAATTGTTTTTTTTATCAACAGTTCAGCGACCGAAAAAGCAAGGTCACAGATGTTAGGCCTACATGACTGTATAATACTTTGTCTATAATGTTGAAGTTAACATAATGGTTCACCAGCACAAACACTTTGTTTATAGTTACTGAATATGTATTTGAAATTAATGTTGAATAAATGAAATCTAACGATCAGACAGCACCTATTGCATCTTTAAACGGAGTTCAGACATGAACTGACATAAATGGCTCTGTTTTAGTTTACACACTTTAACGGCTATTCGGCTAAAGGACATTTATTCCTGCAATTAAGATAGGCTTTGGAAACTTTATGGCATGCATGTCTAGTCTCTATGTAGACTTGACATTCTTCAACATAATTATCCTTACGTTAATCTATTATTGACTGTGGATATTGATTTTCCTGATTAAAGAATCGGTTGAATTTCGCAAATGAAAACAGTAACGAAACATAAAAGATCTTTAAAGTACAAATCAATAATTGAATATAGAGTGTGGTTCAGGAACCTCTGATGCCATGAAACATGTGCTATATTACTATGGACGGAAGTACCTGTTTGCATGGTTGTAAGCAGTTAAGGCATGTTTGTAGAAAGAAATGGATCCAAACTAAGTCAACTGACAGCAAACCCAGTGCATGTTGTTTTTAATCAAATTTTAAGGTAATTGGGTTCATTTGTATGGTAGGATAGTGTTTTTTTCTGTTAAAACAAAAATAAGGAATACAGAAATAAAGTATAAAATGCTGTGTTTTTTTCTTATTTTAACCATTATCACTCATAATGAGAAAAGTAAACTGTTTGAAAACATAGAGATTTGCTTAACAATGAAAGTTTTCTTCCCTGTGTTTCATAAGCTATAAATACTATATATACACACACACTGGGATCAACCTCCTTGCCAACATCTGTATACTTGTACACTGCTATAATTGAAAGGTGGATGCCATTCTTATTGTAAATGACAATAAAACATATTAAGGATAAAGCTAGCATCTGCTCCCGGTATTGATAAACACACCACGCTATTCTTTACTGCTCAACGTAAAAAGACCTATGTGGGAATTTACTCAATGTACTAGAAGTAAAAAGTTACTTTTTTCTTATTAAAAGGTACATTTAATGAAATATTTTATCAAACCAAACCAAATTCAGTGTGATCTGCTTTGTCACCTGTTAACTGTCTATTATATATGGAACTTGAATGAGTGATCGAAATGCAAGATGGGCGTTTGATTTGTGTAAAATTTATTTCAGTAGCTATTGGTCTGAGGATTAAGTATAATTACCAATTTTCTGTAGAATTATCTTAGTTTTGAATGGTTAAATGTATAACTAATATCATGGTACATATTCAAACATTGTCAATACAAATTTTTCTTCTTTAAAATGTAATAGTTTGGTATTCACATGTATTATTTATGAAACCGATTATATGGAAATGTATTTACATAATAGGGAAATGTAATTACTTAAAAGTATAGTTTTTTTATTTCGTGTTACATATCAATATTTGTGAGTTCTACTTATTTATGAATTATAAATTTTTCATATCCGGTAATGTCAAATTGTCTTTCCATTTACTGTAGTATTTCATTTATTATTAATTGTATATACAAAACCAAAGATGCTTCCCTTTTAAACACGAGATAATCCTAATTTTTTAGGTTACAAACTTTATTTTGACAGTATTGCCTTATTAAATATCATTCAACCTGCTCTATTTGATACGGTAAAATTTGCCAACAAAATAATTCTGTATGGTTTATGAATATTATATTGCGGTCTCTTCATTAAATTGTAGATGAATAATCTATGAAGAAACAGTTAAGCTTTCTTTTATGATAAAAGACAAGACTCAATTGTGCTAACCAGTTGAACATTGTTCAATGCAAAAATAGATTACATAACTGATTATGCGTTTCTTCATAGAACATAGAATTTCATAACCCAAGACAAAGATATTTCTTTGTTTCGTAAATACATTTATGGGACATATTATTCAAATCAACGTCTAACAAAGTAGTAGCGTTCATGTAACGTATTGCTGACATTTCGCTACTAAGGCAAGATCCTAGCCAGTTCATGACATTTTAAATAATTTAAACATTT